CGTGGGGACGACTCCTTTGGTGGCCCTGGGGAGTGGGCCCCAGCCTCGCCCCCAGCTTCTGGGAGCTCCGTGGCCCTGGCGGCCTCTCGGCAGGCAGCCTGCACGTTGCCCGTGTTCCCGGGTCTGGCTTCGGGGGCTCGTGGGGCCACACTGCAGCCTGCGGGGGGCAGCTGGCAACTCGGCGTCCGTGGCCACCTCTCCCGTTGGAGGCCACAAGTCCAGGTCTTTGCTCCCGCCATCAGGAGGCCCTGGCTGAGGAAGCAGCTGCATCAGCACTGCCCCGCGCCCGCCCCTGGCCCTCGAGTCCGCGGCCATCGCCGAGGCCAAGACCACCCTGCGCGGCCCGAAGGGGCCTCCCTGGGCCGGGGCCTGCAGGGCAGCGGCCTGTGTTGGATGCAGCTGCCTTTAGTAGGACGCTCGTCCGGACCCCGAGATGGATTACCCACGTCCACATCAATCTCCGGGCCCTGATCTTATTACCACCACCACAAACACAAGCATAAAAGCCCCGCTGATGGATGCAGGGCGCGGCGATCCATCTGTCCCATCCATTATTCCGGGGTGATTTTTCATTATCTGATGGCAGCTGATTCCTGGCACATCAGTATACACTGGCAATTACCAGGAGCAGAAAGAGCCCCTAAATTAGCAGAACAATAACACCTGTCGGGAAGAGGCAGGGCCCCCCCCCAGCACGCGCGCCCGCGGGGCCTGCATCAGAATCGCAGGGGAGACGGATCCGGTGTTGCCCTTGGGAGCGGAGGGGAGACGGGCTTTGGCTTTTTCTTGCTTTTCTTGGGGGGAGAAGAGGGTTGTTCTGTGGGGTGGCGTCCCCGACCCCCGGAGCCGGGACAGACACCTGAGCCACGGCCACGGCCCCTCGGGCTTGTGGACAGATGTCCCCGCCTGCGTCATCTGGTGCCCGCCAGGCCTGTGCGGAGGGGCGCCGCCTGATGGGTGCTGGTAGAACGGGGTGAGGGCGGAGGCCCGCTGGGTGCCCCCGGGGGAGGGCGGGTGGCGAGTCCTCTCAACTCCCTGGTGCCATGACCCGATCTGGGTGTCTTCCCAAGGGGCTGTAATGGAGAAACTTGAGGTGGACGCGTGGCTGGGACGTTTCTGGGAACCACGGGGGCCGGGATTGCTGGAACTCCCCCACTTCCCATTCCAGAAACCAAGAGCCCTGTCTGGTTGGGCCCTCTGGGAGACCTTCAGGGCGCCAGCTCTTCTCAGGCCCAGTCCACTGGGTGTCGGGCTGCTCGCGGTGGCTGACCTGATGGGCTGGAGGCTGTGGCTGGCTCTGAGGCCCCCTCCATGGCCGGTGGACACGGCAGAGGACAGCGAGCCTTGATGGTGGGCGGAATGGTCAGCCTGAGCCCCAGCTTTCTCCAGCTGCTGAAACAGGCCCTTCCTGCTTCACTCACAGGCCAAGCCCCCGCCGGTCACTCCCCTAACTCAGGGGTCTGACACCACAGCCCTGGGGCCGGCTCTGGCTGCTGGTTCCGCAGATGCAGCTTGACCAGCATGCGGTAGGTCTGCTGCCCGCGCCGTGGCCCTGGATGCCCACGCCACATGGTGGGGGGTCAGCCGGAGTCCAGCCGCCCAGAGCCCAGAGCATCGGCTCCTCGGCGAGGTTGGCCCACCCGGGTCCTTGAGGGGCTTCAGGGAGGAGATGACCCTGGCACCGGGGAGCATGGGGTGGGCTGGACGCCATCTCCCTGCTCTTGGGAGCCCACCCCTCAGAGAGGGCCGTGCCAGGCCCCCCGCGACTCCTCTTCCAGCCGCGTCCCGCCACAGTCGTGCCTGCGCCATCATGGCTTTGCGTCCCAGGCCTCTCCGCAGCCCTGGTGGCTTCTGCTTGGGCCCAGGCGCCCGCCAGGCCCAGGCTCTTAGGCTCAGACCGATGGCTTTGCCAGCGACGTGTGCACAGGGCAGGAGGAGGGCACGTCCACCAGTTCACTCCCGGAACGTGGCCCCTCCTGAGCTGGGCCTGCGGTCGGCCACTGCCCTGCCCAGCAGCACAGCCTCCCGCCCTGGCTCGGCCGCCACCACCGGCCCCAGACCGGACAGGCGCGGAGAGCAGGCCGAGCGTGACTGGGCACGTGTGAGGCTGCGTCCCCAAGGCCCAGCTGCCGCCGTCATGCGCCCGGCGATCTCAGCTGGTGGTTAACCCACATATCATCGCCTCCAAATCTCCATTTGGCAAGTTGTGGGGAGAAATGTCACGCAGAAGGCAGGGGAAGGGCCTCCAAGCAGGCAGACTTGGGGATTATGTCATTACCGTCCTTCCTGCTCCCGTTTTCATTTTCTCCTTTGCAGGTTTAGATTGAATAACGTGTCCCCCGGCTGCCGGTGCAGGCTCTCTGCTGGGTGTGTGTGTTGGGGGGCTGAGGGGGCCCCCGGGGCTCAGATGCCCTCCTCCCACGGGCAGGAGGACGCAGCGTCTTGGCTCCCGGCCCTGCCGCTTTTCCCCCCAGACTTGAGCCCCGCGGAGCCTCCGTCCCACAGCATCCCCGCCGGGCGAGCTGGCAGCGGGCAGCTCTGCTGGGGCAGAACCTGGCAGTGCCCAGGACCGCCTCCGGCCCCCCGACTCGGAGTTCTCGCTCAGTGTCCGGCGGGCCTGGCCCCCGCTGAACCGGGCCGCGGCTTCTGTTGTCGCCCCCACTCACCCAGCTTTCTCGTCACCCCCTTCCACAGGCGCTGAGTTCTCTCACTTTGACCCAGAAAGTGACAGGTGAACCCCAAGAAACAAAGATTCAGCTTTTGCCACAGGGATCGAATGTCTGAGAGGCGACTGGCCTGGGGCCCAGAACCCCCGAGAGGGACGCCTGCCTCTAAGAGGGGAGAAGCTTGCTGTCCCCCAGCATGCAGAGGGGAGGGGGGCGCCGGACGAAATGAGGGTGACGGAGTCTGACTCCTGTGATGGTCTTGCCAGGGGCTCCAGAGCCAGGGCACGTCCTTGCGCTGGAGAATGTACACGCATTTGCCTGTAGCCTTGAAGGGCGCCGTGAGCTCCAGCCCTGAGAACAGGTCCCGGGAGAAACAGGATAATACGGATCTGGGTGTTGCTGCCGCTGCTTGAAAACGCTGCTACCGTCATCACTGTCCTCATCGCTCCGCCGTCCCCACACCCCCCTCCCGCCCCAGCCTCACCCTCATCACACCGTCTCCAGCACCAGCACCTCCACCGGTGCCACCACCACTGCATCGCCGCCCTCATCGCCACCGTCCTCAGCATCGCCCGCCGCCGTCACCAGCCTCCCCGCACCACACGAAGTCCAGACCCAGGATGAGCCCAGGCGCGTCACGTGCGCCCGGCGGGCCCCTGCCTGGGCGAGGGCAGTGTGTGGGCGGGAGGACAGGCCTGAGCAGCCGCCCCCGGGGGTCTGTGCACCTGTCGCCCCCTCCCACTCTGCTCACGGGGGCCGAGCTGGGCGGGGAGCAGCCGCTGGACAGACGGGCCGAGGGACTTCGCGGACGCGCCCTCGCGGGCGAGGCTGAGGGCGGGCCTGGGGGCACGACGGGCTCGCACCACGGGCAGCCGGGCGGTCTCAGAGAGACGGCATTTCCCAGAGGTCTCTAGCGGCGATGCCAGTGGGCCCTGGTGCCTTGGAAGGTGGGAGCAGAGTCAGCCGAAGCTGCTGCCGTAGGTAGCGGGCACTGAGCGGCTGTGCCCTGAGGACGGGCCGTGGCCGGGGTGGTCAAAGCGGGCAGGTCTCGCCTGCAGCGGGTGCTCTGTGAGCACTTCCCGGGCAGCGGGTCAAGGGGCGAGCCAGGGCCGTGACGGGCGTGCGTGTGCGCAGTGGTCCCGGGAGGGCCCAGCCCGGGGCTCAGGGCAGGGACCCCTCAAACACCGGGTCAGGCTGAACCGGCCGACAGCTGGTCTCCCGCTCATGCCAACTTGGAATCATTAGCGCCGCCCCCACGAGGCTCATACTCAGTGGAGAGGTAGCAGCTGCTGGAGACTGTGTCCTTGGGAGGCCGCCAGGAAGCGCACACTCTGACGCCCTCCGGGCTGGCACCAGCACGCGCTGTCCTCGCCCCAGCCCTCGCGCGTGGTGGCGGGTCCCTGCGGGGCACGGGTGCGGGGTCAGTGCCGGAGCAGGAGCTGCGGTGCGGGCCCCCGGCGGGGCTCCCTGCAGACCCTCCCGGCCTGGTCGCCGGCCCTTTGGGTGTGGTTCTGGCAGGAGGCCGGGCCAGAGCCAGGCCTTACACTGCGGCAGGCAGGGGGCAACGCCCGGGTCCTTGTCCCAGAGGTGTCCGTGTCATCGGAGGAACACACCCGGGGTGGGGACCAGGGTCCCGGTCTGCCTCTTCCGAGTCTGTGGCGAGTGGAAGGTGGCACAGCGGAGGGCAGAGGCGGGCATGGGGAGGGCCCCCCTCTCCCCCATCCTGGGAGGCGCTGGCAGGAGCTCTCGTGGGCTCGCCCTGCCTCTGGAGTAGCCAGTCCCCTCCCCGTCCTGCCGATGCCTCTCTTCACCCCCGCCCCCCACGCAGAGCTCCTTGGGGCTCTGGACTGCCCAGCGCTGGACCTGGGCCCTGACTCCCTGAAACCACATCAGGCAGTGAGCTTCGGGGAGGAGTCTGGAAGCAGGGTCTCCTCCCTGAGTGGGGTCACTCCAGCCTGTGGAGTCGCTCCCCCAACTTTCCAATCAGGCCTGGACTGTCCTGGCTCCTCCTGGCCAGGAGAGCCCCTGGACTCGCGGCCCAGCCCCTGAGCACGGGACCAGCTCCCGCCGTGGTCGGGGGAGGGGGTGGTGGGTTCCCCGGGCTCCTCGGCCAGAGCTCACCTGCGCAGGGGCGGGCTCGGCAGGTGTGAGCAGGACACAGCCACCCCGGGCGGGTCACGGCTGGGGACCTGGAGGGGGTGATGGGAGGCGGGGGCTGGGCCCTCCAGAACGGCGGGTGAGCCCGCCCCGGCCCTTGCAGCTCCCGGGCAGCCGTGCGGCGGGCCCTGCCGGGGCGGGCACCGGGCTCACCTGCTCTCTCCGCTCTGTCCCCAGGTCTGGCCGTCCATCAGATCATCACCATCACTGTCTCCCTCATCATGGTCATCGCTGCTCTGATCACAACCCTTGTCTTAAAAAACTGGTAAGGCTCCTCGGCCCTTCTGGCCTGGAGGTGGGGGGCTGGGGGCTCCCGGGAGAGTGCACCCCGGGAGCTGTCTCAAGCCTGGCCCCTCGTCAGGGCGGGGGAGTTCCCGCTGCCCCGCAGCAGCTCACGTGGCCCGGGCAGCTGTGCGCCCCGGCCAGGCTGGCCCCTGCCCCTGGCCGAGGCTGCTCCCCGAGCCCGGCGTGGCTGCGGCTGCTCCTGCTCTCCCCTCCACCTCCCCATGGACGCCTCCCTTTGGGGTCGGGGTGCAGCGCACTTCCTGGCTTTGCAGCCGGGCGGCCCCTCGCTGACCAGGCGTCCCTCTGCGGCGTGCGGCGGCCTCCTCCCCCTCGGCAGCTGCCGCGTTTGCTGAACTGGGTCACCGGCTGCCCCGGGCGCCTGCCTTGTCTGTGTCCTCCTGGAGACTGGCCCACATTGGGGCGGCCTTGCTGGGTGTGCCCGCCTGACACCCTGGGAAACGGGGACGGCCGGTGACCCTGCACTGCCGCCGCGGTGCTCTCGGCCCCTCCTCTGGGAACGTGCCTCCTCCTTGCGTTCCAGCTTGAGCCCCGCGGGCGCCCGCCCCCCTCCCCAGCGGCTCAGACAGGGTGTCGGGGGCGCCGCCGGAGAGTCGGGGTGTGGGGGGAGGCCGGTCTCTGCTGTAGAGAGGGCAGGGGTGACGCCACCTCCGGAACAGAGCAGGCCTCACCGTCCCCAGCATGTACTGAGCCTGCGACCCGGGGCCCAGGACTCTCTCTGGGGTAGAGCAGCTCCTGGCAGCAGGTGTCGGGCTGGCGCTGGGGCAGGCGGCCGCAGCATGGACCCCACCGGGTGAAGGAAAGCCCTTCCCGGGGGTTGGCAGCCTGAGACCTGCTGCGTGGGGGCGCAGGCCTCCTCCCTGCTCACCACCCGTGGCCGCCATCCCTGGATTCGCATCTGTCTTCTCACCATGTCTGTGCAGTGGCCTTCCGGCCATCAGGGGCAGGCTGGGGGCGGCCTGGACCCAGGGGAGAGGCTCCTGACCCCTGCGGCCGCTCAGTCCACTGAGTCGCTGAGCAGAAGGGGGAGAGGAGCGGAGGGACTTCCCCAGATTGGGGGCTCTCCTCTGAGCTACTGTCCTTGGAGAGGGTGGGGACTTCAGGAGTGGGGGGTCACCGGTGGTCTCCATCAAATCCCTTGGCCGACAAGCTCGGGTCTCCCGGGAGCCTCTGTGGTGCAGACGAAGGGCACTTTGGGGTGGGGTGCGGCGCGCAGGCAGTTGTCTCCAAAGACCCCACACCCACGTGGGCTGAGGGACACAGTCCAGTCTCGCTGCCCTCCTGTGGGCTGGGCGGGGGTGCTGAGGGCCAGAGCTCCCCAACTTCCAGACTCTCCCCCAAACAAGTACCTAGTCCATCCCAAAATGTCTGGTCAGCCACCCCAGCCCATCCGTGACGACTCCCCCACGAGGGTCCTTCCAGGCGTGGGTGGAGACCGGTCATCACCTGTCCAGTGGGCATCTTGGTGCAGACGGGGCCTCTGTGGGGAGGGCGCAGCTCAGCCCCTGCCTCGCCTCAGGCCTGGATTCCATGTCTGCACCGAAGCCAACCGCGGCCAGGGCGGTCTCTGCGGAGGGGCGGCCACGTGGCGTGGGGTGTCGCGTGACTGGCGCCTGGAGACAGAGGGGCTCCCGCCAGGCTGGCTGGTGCTGGGGTCGCGGCCTCTGCCCGGCCCACCCGCCTCCTTCTCTTGCAGTTGCGCCCAAAGCGGGAACACGCGCCGGAACAGCCACCAGCGGAAGATCAACCAGCAGGAGGAGAGCTGCCAGAACCTGACGGACTTCACCCCCGCCCGCGTGCCCAGCAGCCTGGACATATTCACGGCCTACAACGAGACCCTGCAGTGCTCCCACGAGTGCGTCCGGGCGTCCGTGCCCGTGTACGCCGACGAGACGCTGCACCCCGCTGGGGAGTACAAGTCCACGTTTAACGGGAACCGGTGAGCCGGGCCCGCCCGCGCGCTGGGCCCTGGGGGGCCCCGGGCAGTGGGTCCTGGGAGGCGCCTTGACCTCTTCCCCGGTCCAGGGGCACGAAGGCCGCCGGCGGGGAGACGAGAGGGGCCGGGCAGACGGGAGCCCGCATTTCCACACCCATCGAGGGGGCCCACGCGGCCGCAGTCGTGGGGGCAGCGCCGGGCGGCCCTGGGTCCCCGGGCAGAGCCTGCACCCGGAGGGCAGAGCCAGCCTGGGGTCGGGCGGCCACTGCGCGTCCCCAGTCACCAGGGTCCCTCCCCGGTTCCGCCTCTGACCCCCGGCAAGACGTCAGCCAGGAATCTAGCAAAAACATCAACCCCGACCAGACTCCCGGTTATTAAATGCTCTTTTTATTAATCACGCGTAATCCCTCAAAGAAGACGTGCCCCGAGCCCGTTCCTGGGAACAGCTGAGAAGCCTCGAGTCAGCTGCTCGAGGTTTATCCGGAATTAGATTAAAACATCAATAAGCCATTTTTTTAAGTGAGCTGGCACGCACGCATCGTTTTGTAAATTAAAAAAAAAAAAAAATCTCCGACAACTTAGAACTCCTCGGGTGGAATGAGCAGGGCGCCAGCTGTCAGCCAAGGGGACGCTGCGCCCGGGGGTGAGCTCGAGGGAGGGACCGCGCCTGTCCCGGGCGGGCGGGTGGGTATCCGGCTGCAGCGGCCGCGGCAGGGCCTGGTGCTGGCCACAGGCTCGGTGCCCTCGGCCTCCGCCTGCCCCTCCTGGGCTCCCTCCCGGGCTCTGCCGACTTCCCGCCTGAGGCTTCCTTCTCGGCTGAGGCCCGGACAAGCCTCACGCTGCCCTAACCCGGCGTGGCTTGCTGCAGCGACGCTGGGGGAATCCTTGGTTCCATCCCAGAAGGCCGAGTCCTCGCGGGATGGGCAGCAGGGCAGTCGAGCCCTTTCCTGTCCATGTGGGCCAGACCCTGGCCCCCCCAGTGCTTCGCCGTGGGGGCGAGGAGGGAGTGGGCGCCAGCCGTCCATCCTGGGCTGTGGGACGCCCGCCCACCACTGGGTGGACAGCTGGCCGGGGCGCTTCAGAGGCAGGGCCCTCCAGCCACGCTCTGGGGACGCCCACTGGTCTTGGGGAAGGAAATATGGGGGACGTTTCAGAAGTGGGTTCTGCCCTCCCCTGGGTGTGTAGTAAAGTGGGGTGTCCACACTTGCCGGCAGAGACCCTGAGCTTCATGCCTGTCCCTAAAATTCAAAATACGCGTTCTGAGCTGTGGCGGCTGAGATGCCCACCCCGGCCCCTGCTCCCTCCCCGCCCCTGCTCCCCCACGCAGCCCTGGGGGCCCTGTCCCGAGGGCCTCTGGGCAAGGGAGGAGACTGAGCTCCAGCCTGGGGGTTCGGGAGGCCTTCCTGCCCCAGGCCAGTGGTCCAAGCCCAGCGGCCTCTGATGGGCTCTTTGGGCTGGAGGGGCGGCTCTGGGCCGGGCCTGGCGGCCTCCGGACACGCCCCAGCTGTGTCTCCTCTCCCGCAGACCCTCGTCTTCAGATCGGCATCTTATTCCTGTGGCCTTCGTGTCTGAGAAATGGTTTGAGATCTCCTGCTGACTGGCCGAAGTGTTTTTTACGTCCCGGGGCTGGGCGGACGCCGCGTGTCTACTCTATGGTAGGTGCCTCTCCCGCGGGCCTCGGCGCCGCCCCCCTCACGCCCCGGCCGCTCGGGGGACAGGAGCTCGTGTCCACAGGCGGGGACCCGAGGGCGTCCCTCTCCTGGGCAGAGCAGCTGGCCGGGCGTGGGGACCTCGATCACACTCGCTGGACCTGCCTCAGGACGACCCCAGCAAGGCCGCGGGCCGCTCGGTGGGCCAGTGCCCGGGCAGCTGCGCGAGACCCCCGGCCCCACGCGGGCAGGGCCAGCGGCCGCCACTACTCCCGTCGCCTGCCTTTACATCGAGGCACAAAGCAGAATTAAAACACAGTTTTGAAATACAAAAGTCAGAGCTAAGAAGACAGCTGCCGGGGAGAAGGTGAAGGGTTGAGACGGCGCCTAACTCGACGCCGGAGCCGGCACCCGGCAGGATGGCTCCCAGCACCGCTGGGCAGGGGCACGCACGCGGTGGCAGCCCTGCCGACGCCCAGACGCCTGCTCTGCTGCACCCGGCTGGCTGCAGGCAGTGCCCTCGCCTGAACTGCTCCGCAGCACGCAGCTGCGGCCAGGCCTGGCTTTGGCTGATCTGTGTTCCTTCCGGCTGCCGGGCGTCCTGCTCACCCCCAGGCCCTCCCTCCCCGACAGGTCCTGCTCAGCTCTGGTCGAGGTCTGGGCACCTGTGGGGTGAGCGAAATAGGCTGTTACGCCCCCGGCCTCCGTGGCGTCCCCTGCAGCCTTGAACACAGGAGGCGCTTGGGGTGGGAGGGGCGCGGGCCTGAGGGTGGGCACCTGGAGTGTGGCGCGGGCTGGTGAGTGGGCACTTGGGCCTGGAGGCTGAGGCTATAAAGGCAGCGTCACGCAGAGCCAGAGTGTGGGGAGAGCACTGCGGGGCGCCGGCAGGGCCCGGAGACGCGCCAGGGAGCCCAGAGAGTAAAGATGTGCGGGGGCTGCGAGGCTCCCAGCCCCCCGCCCTGCACTGGCTGCCTCACCGCAGATGGTGTGGAAAGGTCACGGAAAGCCTGTAAGAGGCCCAAGAGCTCCAGGACGCCCCTTTGCCCATCTGCCCGGAACCATGGAGAACCTGCCCAGGGCCTGCGGGCACCGCACGACTCAGCCCGTCCCGCACAAGGGGACACTCGCCACGGGGCGGTTAAGTGACTTGCTGGCCAGTCGGGCTGGAAAAGGTGTGGTCAGATCACCACCGGGCATCTGGCCCGGGGCATCAAGGTGTCCACACCCCACAGCCCAGTCAGCCCACCTGCAGGGGCGCCCAGAACTTCACCCCGAGGGACCTCGGGTGGCTGCGGGGAGAGGGGCGAGGAGCACTGGCCGGACTTCCAGGGCCCACGCTCGGCCCCCCGTCCTGGACCCTCCACCCGTGGGTCTCCTGTGCCCATGGACGCCTCGTTAGGCCTGAGACTTGCTTCCGGGCCCTGTGACTGGGCGGGGGACTCCGTCCATCACTCAGGAGAGCCCCCGACACTAGGAATCCGCCCGCAATTAACGCCTGGACGTGAGCATCGAGCAGGGAAGCCAGGAAGATCTCAGATTTACCGGGTACTTATTGTCCCTTAAATAAATAGCAATTAATACTAAAACATTTAATTAAGGTTTAAGAGCCAGTGGAGATATTTATCTCCGGCGTAGCCGTTAAGCTGCTCCAAATGCATTTTTAACGATGATATAGCAGTTGTGGCCACGCGGCCTGTCTACCCACAAGCACATTCGGGGCCCAAACCCGGCCAAGTCCTGTCCCGCCGCGACCCGGGGACACGCCTGGGACGGGGGGCTCGGCGCTCCAGCTGTGAAGGCCTCACCGTGGCCCTGGACCCGCTGGCTGTGGCCTCCCCCATCCGGGAGGGGACCCGGGACCAGCCGCCGTGGCGCGGGAGCTAATTTCCTGTCGTTTTTCATATAACAAGCGAACTTCAGAAAACCTCATTAGTGTTCAGGCCCTTCCCTGCCAGGCCACTTCATTCCACACGGAGCCTGGAAAGTAATAAAAACTCTTGAATCCGAAGCAAGTGAGAAATAAATCATGTGTTATTATTTTCAAAAACACACTGAAGACATAAGTAATAAAAAAATAAGAACCACACCTGAGCCTTCCTGCTTTGTTCTAAAAAATACATTAACAGAATATCCGGCTTGTGCGATTCAAAGGAACGCTTTCTTCTCAGCGGTGCCGGCCCGGGGCGCCGGGAAGGGCTCTCTGAGCCGGAGCGAGGACCCAGCTGACTGGGAGGGACGCGAGGAACCCGACAGCAGCTGCGGACAAGGCAGCCCGGCCACGGAGCCCCAGCCCCACTGTGCGCCAGGCCAGGTTGGGAGCCAGCAGCCCCACTGTGCGCCAGCCCAGGTTGGGAGCCAGCAGCCCCACTGTGCGCCAGGCAGGGCCGGGAGCCAGCGGCCCCTGTGGGCAGCAGAGGGCACTCGTCACTCCACAGCGAGAATTCAGCCTGAGCCTGAGGCCTCCCATGTCTTTGCAGCCCACGCTTCCTTTCCAGCAGCCCTGGGGGGACCCCTCACGGGGGCCCGTCTCCAGCTGGGGTGTCTTTCCAGATGGCCTGGGGCAGCATGTTCTCCGGGTCCCTTGGAGTCAGTGCCCCGCGGAGCGGCCCGTGCCCCGGTGCGGGCAGCGAACACCAGGCAGGCTGGGAGAGGTCTCGGTCAGCCTCGGCCTCTGCCTGATGGTCCCTGCCGGGGCCCCCACCTCGCGGAGGTGACTCGGGGTGAGGGCAGAGGCCCCGTCCCTCTTTGTCTTGCCCTCGTCCCGACACCAGGTAGAGACGGGTGCTGCGGGTCTGAAGAAGCTCCGTCCGAGCGGCCTCACGCCCCTCCCTGGGTCGGCCGCAGTCCCCCGGGCGCCTGCCCGCGAGCTCAGGGGCGGGTCCTCCTGGCCGCGTCGCGGGCCTGGCCGAGCTGCGCCCCCGCAGAGGCCTCTCCCGCGCACACGCTGCAGGACGGGAGAGCCAGGGCAGGGGCTGCGGAGCCGGAGCAGGCGAGGAGGAGGAAGGACAAAGGAGGAAGCGGCCCACCACCGGCAGGACCCCAGGACCCAGCCAGGCACCGGCGTGGACTCGGGGATGGCAGGAGGACGTGTGCGCCCACCGCGGAGAAGGACTGACCAGGGGAGGAGCCGCCGCCTTGACCGTCCCGTGCAGCCCGGATCTCCCGGGAGCCCCGCCCACCATGGGCGCGGCCAGGCCTGAGAGCCAGAGGGCGGCTGACCTCCGTGCTGGGCACGGCTGGGCGGACGGAGGGCGACCAGCAGCTTCACCCAGAGGCGGCCCCAGGCCCCTGGATTAGGCAGGCGGCCACCAGGCCCAGCTCTCAGGGTCCCCGGATGTGAGAATAGACCGTGATGCGGTCACACACACCCCCACACGCGGGCCCCTGGGTCTGCATGGTGATTCTCGGCGGCCGCCCCGCGCCCTCCCCAGCCCAGCAGCCCCTGATGGACTCGTCAGCCCCCAGCCCCTCCACGTCAGTCCATGCGTCTGGCCACCCTCTGTGCCCATGGTGGCGCCGCAGGGTTTGAACCCACGTCCTCAGCTTTCCGGACGTCAGGTGAAAGCTGCCAGCGGGAGGGGCGCGCTCCGTGCCGAGAGCCTCATCCCGCAGGGCGGGGGCTGGCGCGGCGGCTTCGGGGCCCACCAGGGGCCACCCTGGCTCTCCAGGCGGCTCCTGCGCACAGCAGCGTGGATTCGCGGGACAGGAGCCGCTGGAAGAGGGAGCGGGGCGAGGTGCCACAGGGCCAGTGCCGTCCGCCTGCACCCCAGGGGCAGTGGACTCAGGGCTCAGAGGCTGGGGCTGAGGAGTGGTCACCCCCGCAGCGGAAGCCGACGCAGGGTGGGGTCCAGCCGCCTTCTGGGAGCCCGGGGCTCCTCCCAACTCCGTTGGCTTCACCGGGTCCCTCTTCTGCACAGCGTCTCCTGTAGATGGGGGTGTGGGAACATCTGCTCGATACTTTTTGAGGGGTGCGGTGTTCGTGGGGTGCTGGGGGTGCTCTGGCAGTGCCCCTCCCCACCAACCAACTCACTGACCATGCCCAGGCTGCAGGGGCTGACCTCTGGGGTCTGTGAGGCAGGAAGGCCTGGGGCTCTCATTTCCCGAGGGGCACACCCAGGCCTGGAAGAGCCGTCCACAGGGCCCCCCACAGGCCCTCAGGTCTTCCTGCCATCGGGATCGCCTCTGGGGACACCCGGGGGTGCTTCTTCTCAGGCACCCCATTAATCTCAGCTGAGCAGTGCCCTGACACGCACCCCTGTGGTCTGCAGTGGGGCGGCCGCCTCTCCCCTTTGTGGCAAGGGAGGAGCAGGACAATCGGTTGCCTTCAGTCTTGGGGTGCAGCGCCCGCTGAGTTAGCGCAGGGTGGTCCAGCCGCCCCCGACGCAGGCAGAGTTCGAGCTGCTACGGGGGCGAGCTTCATCAGCCCGGGGTCCCAGCCCCTCACGCTCTGGCCATCCAGGGGCGCAGCGTCCAGCGCCAGGCTTGGGGGCACCCCCGTCCCTGCGTCCATCCCCGGGGCAGAGGGCCGGGCTGGGCTGCGGAGGCTGCCGGCCGCCTGCGTCCTGTAACTGCTGCTTCTCTTCTCTCCTCACAGGATTCTCTTGGTGACCCTGTACAAACATTAAATTAAAAACACACACACACAAAACCTAAAACTGAACTTGGAGGGGCGGCCCCACACCTGCCGCTGCGGCTCGGTGGGGACCCCAAGAGCAGGACGCTATAGGCCAAATATATTTTTATAAAAATGCTGACGCCTATGGGGACCTGCCTTCTCCCCGGGTTTCTCTGGAGAGCAGAAGAGGAGGCCGGAGGAAGGAGCCGGAGCCGCGGCCGGAGGCGGGCGAGGGACGGCGGCGGCCGCGTGCGGATTCGTTCTCGAGCCTGAACCTGTGCCAATACCATTATGTGCCACGTACCGACCGAGGGGCTTGGTGACCGCGCCGCGGCCGGGAGCCACGGGCCCGCCGCCTCGGGCCTCCGCCGCGGGAAGCTGTCTCCGGTGACTACACACAGACACACGCGCCGACACACACCCTTTTTTTGTACCGTAGCGATTTTTGAAGCTCTTCCGTGTTCTTTTTAAAAAAATGTGTTCTCAGTTACAAAACCTGATTTATTTAACACGCTTAGTTCGACTGGTATTTTCTACTTCCGCCACGGGGGCCCGCCACTCGCCCCGGGCAGAAAGGACAGACCCGGGCCGCAGCGCCAGGGCCGGGCCGCGCCCGCGCCGCCACCTGGTGACGACCTGCCCTCGCGAGACCTGGGTGAGGGCGCCGGCGTGCGGCCTCCCTCCTGGGGCCAGAAGGAAGCATACCATGGTTTTCTATACATACATAATTCTATATATATATATATATATATATATACACACACACATATACACAAATACTATCTTTTTTCATGTAATTGTCTGAGAAGCTACCTGGCAGCCTCCTGCACATCACGTCGCGGCTGTGCACACCTGGGCTGAGGTCAGAGGGGCGGGTGGACTCCTGGCCATCTTTGTGTTATACAGACATAGACCGAATTAAAGAGATTTTCCAGTTCCAAAAGCGAGAGGCCTGTGTCCTTGGACTGTGTCAGCGGGAGGTGGCGGGGCCCCGGCGGGGACTCGGGTGAAGGGCGGCTGCTCACGGGGCAGCCCGGCGTGGCCATGTCCTTCCCCTGGTGGGTGGACAGAGGCCCCCGCTCCTTCCCGAGCCTGGGGAGACTCCAACGGCGCCGTCTCTGGGGGTCCCCACGGCTGGCGTCTGCTCTTGGCCGTCAAGCATCCTGCGGTGCTCCCCGGTGGACGTGGGGGTCCCAGAACCCCAACCACACTATGAAAAGTAGTGCCACGCCCCCGGGGGCAGTTCCCCCACAGTCCCTGGCTTCTGAAGGGGCACTGGAAGGGCGCCCGCTCTTCCCCCCACAAGGCAACGCCCCACTGGGGACCCCAGATCAGAAGAGGGTGGCCTGGCGCCAAGAAAGCTGCCAGGAACGGCTCGCGTCTGACTGGGGGGTCAGCAGCGGGCGCGTGACCAGGGCAGTGCAGTGGCCAGCAGCGGGGTGCCAAGGGCAGGGAGAGCCAGGGCCCAGCGGCGCCCACCTGCCGGAGGGCTGCAGACCCCAGGCCTCCGCCGCGCTCAGTCACCTCTGAGTCACCTTCACGCGCCCGAGAAGGTCGCTGGTGTGACGCTGGTGGCGGGCGCGCCTGCCTCTGCCAACCGGAGCGTCAGGTCTGCCCGCGAGCTGGGCAAGCGGGAGAGTGGGCACCGCTCGGGTTTGGCTTTTTCATTCTCCCCCCAAACTTGGGCGCACATGGACACGGTGCAAACACCCATCTCCCCTGGCAGGGGGGGCCTCTCTCACCCAGGCGCACCCCTGGTGCCCGATGGCCCCACAGCTCACCCACCTCCTTGTCCCACGGCGCTGTCCCCACGGCTGGCTCGGGGCTGTCCTGACAGGAGTGCGGCTGCGTGAGCACCCCACGGTGTCTCACAGGGGTGTGGGGGCTGCTCCCTGGACCCTCGGGAGCCCAACCCAGGGCCCAGGCCTCCTAGGGCGCTGCCCCTGCCGGCCTGGCTCCTCCCGGTGCTGGGTGCTCCCTCACCCAGAGCAGCTGCGGGTTCCCAGCACCGCAGAACGCAGCCTGCAGAGGGGCTCCAGACAGCAAAGCACCCCCACAGTGACATATGTGCACCCCACCCACTTGGGGCACCCCAGCACCTGTGGCAGGGGCGTGAGGTGCCTGAGCCCCAGGACCCCGCAGCTGCCCTGCCTGGAGTCAGGTTCTGCGCCGACATTGTTGAGACCAGCGCGTGGGGCGGCGGCCAGCCCATTGAGGGGGGTGCGTGCGGGGGCTGCTTTTCTGCTCTAATGCCCGGGAGTGTGCACAGGCCCCCGGGAGCAGTGAGCCGGCACGGAGCCGCCGCCAGCCCGCGGCCCTGGACTGACTCCTTGGGCCCTGCGCGTGTGGCCCAGCCGCCCTCTCCATGGCCAGTGGACCAAAGCGGACACTCCTCATCTGACTCCCTGACCCGGGGAGACAGTCCACGTCCTTGGCTGCGTCTAATCAGCTGGGCTGAGCCCCACCTTTTGGGAGGCAGGTGAGGGCCTAGGTGAGTACTCAGGTGAGGGCCCAGGTGAATGCCCAGGTGAGGGCCCAGGGGAGGGCCCAGATGGGGGCTGCTGGTGTCCTGGGTCAGACGCAGCCCATCATCTGGCTATGCACAGCAGGCCCTGGAACAAAAGGCTCTTGGGCCCAAGCGCCCATGGTGCCAGGTGGAGGAGCCCCGCTCTCGCCCGTGGGGGCACTGAGCTCTGCGTCTGGAGGGGGGCAGGGGCTCTTGACAGGGGGTGGAGGCGATGCCCTCTGCTCAGCGCGGGCCCCAGTGGGTGGGTGCCAGGGGCAGGGTGGCCCCAGCGGGCCAGGTGGCTGTTTGCGAGACGTCACGCTGCCCGGCACCAGTGGGGCCTTGCCGGCTGAGCCCTTTCAGGTGCCCAAGGCCCAGGGCCACATGCCTGCCAGGAGTCCCAGTTATGGCCGGGACAGGCCGGGGCCCAAGTGGCGTGCGGTGGACAAAGGGCCCTGTGCCCCGGACGGCAGGGCTGAGCTCGTCCAGCCCCTCACGCACCAAGCACCCAGCGCAGCCCACCTGCCTCCAGACACGTCTTCATGGCATGATGAAGCTGCTGCCCAGTGACGCCATGGCCAGGGCTGAGGCCCAGCCCCAGAGAAGCAGGAGGGAAGGACCCAGAGCCACTGTCCTATCTGCCAGGACCCTGAGGGCCTGTGGTGTTGGCACAGGGAGAGCAGCCACCATCGCTTACCAGGGGCACTTGAGAAAGCAGGTCAGCGCCGGGCGGGGCAGGCGTTTAGCTCCAACGAGCTCGGCTCTCCCCGGTCAGTCAGGAGGAAGTGTCCGCAGGCCCCGCAGACGCCAAGGCAGCCTGCACGCTGCCCGCCCGCGGAGGGCCTGTGGACACTGGCCTCGTCCCTGCAGCTTGTGGCGCCTGTGCTGGCCCCTGTCACCCGCGGGAGCCTCCGTCTGCTCCGAGGCTGCGAGCCGTGGCTGCTGAAGTGACCAGCACCTCCCGGGACAGCCTCTCTGGCCGGCGAGGGGCACCTGCCCTGCGCCCGCTGATGAGAGGGGCACACGGCTGCCTTCATCAAGCAGGAAGAACAGAAGCGCTGTGGTCGTTTAACCCATTCAAACAAATCAACAGCCGGGAGACGCTGAGATCAACGCAGCTCGCCGCCCGTGCGGGAGGAAGCCGGGTCCTGCCGTCCACCGCCAGTGCCCAGCGCTCGCGCCTCTGCGCTGAGGCCAAGCAGTAAATACAGGGTCCCCTGTGGCCCCGCGCACTTGGCAGAGCCGGGGGACGGTCCCCCACCCTGCGGGTTCTGCTGAGGCCTTGGCCGAGAGCTGTCGGGGCCGGACAGGGGCTGGGCGTGGGCCGGCGGTGATGCCTCGGCACGATCCCCACCACGTGAGGGGGACAAGGCTGGGAGTGCGCTCTCGGGGCTGGGGCCCTGGACGTCAGGTCACAGGGGGAGCCAAGCCCAAGCCCGCCCTCGCAGCCCAGCCACGTTGAGCTGCTCTGGAAAACTCGGCAGCACCTGGGCCGGGCGGCCGCGGGAGTCTGGCCCCGTCCGCTGTCCCGGCTTGCGGGGAGCCTCTGTCTTTGCCCCCCAGCGAGCAGCCTTTGCCTTGATGGAGCCCTCGGGCTGTGCGCCCGTCAGAGTGAGAAGGGGTCTGAGGAGGCGGGACGGTCCTTGAGGACAGCGGCCCCGCGCCCCCGGCGCCTGGCACTGTCTGCAGACATTTTCCGTGGTTGTGGTCGGAGGGGGGCTACGGGGGGAGAAGCTGGGGGGCACAGGACGCCCCCCGCAGTGAGCTGAGGGCGTCCCCCCCGGAGAAGCCCTCGGGGGGCTGTGCCCTTCCTTCTGCGGAGCGCGAGTGGGAACCAGCTGCGGCTGAGGGCGGCCCGGCCCGGGACCCACGTCTGCCTGCCCGGAGGTGGGAGCCGCAGAGGCCGCCCCCGGGGCGGTCGGGGCCTGTCCGCTCCGGTGCTGGTCCTGCCGGGAGAGTGGGTTTGCTGTGGCGGCTGAAGCACCGCGCCGCAAAGTGGGTGACCTGGAACGACGGAAATTTATAGTTTCCGTCCTGGAGGCCCCGATGTCCCAGATCCGCGGGCGGCCCCCCTGGCGCCGGGGGCGTGTCCGCCGCTCTCCCGCTCCCGGAAGCTCCTGGGCCGGGGCAGCCCCACAGCAGCCCCCGCACGACGCTCTGCCTGTTGCGCACACGTGTGTGCGCGCGTGTGCGCACGTGTGTGCGTGTGTCCAAATGTCCCCTTTTCACCAGGACACCAGCCGCGTCAGACGTGCCCCACCTGCTCCTGCGGGGCCTCATCCTCACTAATTATAGATGCGTGACCCCGTTTCCAGCTACGCTGTCCTTCCGAGGTGCTGGGGGTGGGGGCTCCAACTCGTGGGTTCTGGGCACACAGCTCGGGGTCAGCGTGGGGCGCCTCACTTCACCACGTTCACTCTCTGCCTTATGGCAGGTGGGGCCTGGGGGATCCAGCAAGGAGGTTCTGTCCCTTCCCCCACTCCGGGCTGGGGGGCCAGGCGGGAAGTGGCGGGGCCCATTCCCAGGGGTGCCCCTCGCGGTGCCGCGGCCGCTGGGCGCTGGCTGCAGGGCCGGCTGGGCTGGGAGGGAGAGCACGGCCTGCAGAGCGGCTGTCCCTGAGGAGCGGTTTTGTTTGGCTCCAGGTTGCCAGAATGAGGGGGGGCAGCCGCGGCGGCGCAGGAGCAACGCGGACCCCCCGGGGCTCTGAGCGCGTGGCCCCCGC